GGGTGAGGTTTAGGCAGCTGCAATGGCTGCTTTGGGTATGCGGTCCAGACCTCCCCAGAGACTATGGCTGACAGAGGAGGTGTTCAAGCTGGCTGAGAAAAAGCGACAGGCCCACTCTAATCGTCGACAGCATCCCACGTTAGACAATGAGGAGGCTTACCGCAGCCTTCGCTCGGAGGTTCGGAGAGCCGTGAGGCGCTGCAAAGATGGGTGATGGACGCGGGTTGCTGAGGAGATGGAGTCTGCCTCAATGGCCCGCGATCACAAATCCCTATTTAACTCCATCAAAAAAGTAATCTGCAGCACCACACCTATTACCATCATTAGGGGAAAAAAGGGTGATCCAATCTCCGACCCCCAGGAACAGGTTTTCAGATTTGGTGAGCATTTCTGTGAAGTCCTGGGGGAGGGGAAATCCCTCGACATGGAAAACATCGTGGGGATGACCCTGCTGAGGCTGTGGTGCCTCAAATATTGGAAGAAGAAGTCACCCCCTGTGAGTGGCTGGCTGAGGTGCCACCTGTTGAGGAAGTACTAAAGGCAATCCAGAGTCTGAGACCAGGAAAGGCACCGGGCAAAGATGATCTCCCAAGCAAAATGCTGAGGGAGGGTGGCGTTTGTGCACAGACTGCCATATATGACATCACAACAACAGTCTGGACCACTGGACGGGTCCCGCAGGACTGGAAGGATGCCCTGGTGGTCCTCCTCTTTAAGAAGGGGACCGCACAGTCTGTAACAACTACAGGGGTATCTCACTCCTCAGTGTGCCGGGAAAGGTCCTGGCAAGGATTATTTATTCAACATCGCCTTGCCAGGCACGCTGAGGAGAGGCTTGGTTTCAGGAAAGGGCTGTCCTGCACAGATGCCATATTCTCTGTCCGTCTGCTGCAGCAGAGGTGTAGGGAATTCCAACAAAACCTACATCTCTGCTTTATTGACCTGGTCAAGGCCTATGATACCATCAGTAGGCCTGGGCACTGGGTTGTTCTTCGTGCTTTCGGAGTCCCTGACCCTCTGCTCACGATCATTGAGACCTTCATGATGGTGAGCGGGCCCGGGTAAACTCTGGCTCCAACATTATTTAACATATTTTTCGACCACGTAGTTCGTGAAGCCTTTGATGGCTGTACCAGAGGAATGTACATCTGGTACAGATACAATGGGAGGCTGATCGATGCCCGGGTGCGGTCAAGGGATGGTTCTCTATTAGTCAACCACGTTATGTATGCCGATGATCTGGTAATTGCCGCTCACTCAGAGGAGGAGGTGGAGGCGCTGCTGATGAAACTGGAGCGTACAACTAAGAGGTGGGGCCTTACCATCAGCCCCACCAAAACTAATTACCTGCCTGGGTATTTTGTACATCGGGCACTTCACCCCCACAACTCCCAATCGGTGATGGGGCAGTTGTGGAGAGAGTGTAGAGTTTCCCATACCTGTGCATTGTGCTCATGACCGGCTCAGGTTTGACAACAGAGGTCTCACTCACAATCAGTCGAGCGGCATTATCTTTTCATCGGTTACATATTGCTGTGTGGAAGCTACCTGGTCTGTCACTCCGCACGAAGCTTCAAGTCTTCTCGGCCATGGTCATTCCAACCCTTCTCTACGCTTGCGAAATGTGGACCCCCCTAATGGAGCATCTTCGCCGATTGGAAACATTTAGGCTGGCCTGCCTATGATCCATCCTGGGTTTAACCAGGCTGGATTGTGTGAAGAGCTCACAAATCTTTGAAAGATCTGGGCAAAGTCCCATCGGTGAGCTCCTCTGGCAGGCAAGGCTGCGTTGGCTGGGTCATGTAGCCCGCATACCCAGTCACCGCATGCCTGAACAGCTTTTGTTTGGCCGGATAGAGGAGGCTAAACGGGCGCGGCACGGGCTAGAGAAGAGATAGAGTGATGTGGTACAGGAGGATGTGGAGCTGAGTGGACTTGCCGATGACTGATACCAGCGGTTAAATTTCGCTTTAAAGCTTTCGTGACTGCATGGATTCATCTTCTTGGTTCTTTCGGTAAAGTCACAACGCAAGTAGCCGTCCTCAGGTGAAACCAGGTCTGTCGAGGCGTCAGCGTCTGAATGAAACAGCACACGTGCTTGGAGCAAATATATAAGCTGGGTTGGAAGGGTGAGGGGGAAAGGGCGCCTTGACAAAAGAATTTGCATATCAAGAGGAATTTAGCATATTTATGGGAAATGCAGGTATGTGATTAGTACTACTTATGTCTGTGCATTATGCAGGATTAGCAGCATCCAAGGGAGGGGATATGGGAAATGCAGGTATGTGATTAGTACTACTTATGTCCGTGCATTATGCAGGATTAGCAGCATCCAAGGGAGGGGATATGGGAAATGCAGGTATGTGACTATTGCTACTTTGCCCGTGCATTATGCAGGATTAGCAGCATCAAAGGGAGGGGATAGGGGAAGCATTAATAAAGGGAAGAAGTGTTAATAGTATGTAGCTGCAGTAACTAAAACCACCACGTAAACAACTAAAGTATAAACTACATAGTATCATCATTATACTAAATATACTCTACAATAAGCTGAGTTACTAACAGTAAGTAATACATTACAATTCTACGTCGTAAAAAATATAATATGCTTCCATCTAAACTTTATTCTCTTACATCACACGAATCTACACCGTACTATATACTTCCATAGACAAACCCAACATTAAATGATATACTGTAATCCATTGTAATATTACACTATGTATTATTCTACCCACCCTAATGTATATCACCCTGCTGTATAAGGTAATACCAAACGCATTTACACTAACATCTGCTGCTGTAACTTCTTCTAATGCTAAACGAATTCTTTCTAGAACTAGCTTAGCTCTTATCTCAGAGAAAATCAGACTTACGCGCACCGATCTAGATCAGTTAGACAAGACACAAATCACACTTATCTTTGAGTGCAACAATGTCCACATCGGATTGGAACATGTAGACAAAATGACTGCCTCTTCAGCTGCCGCTATGTCGACCAAATGTAAGGACAACTTGATTTCAAAATTCAACCGCCTCTCAAACAAGAGACCGGACCCACACATTGAAAAGCTAGACGTTAACAAAGTCGTAATTAATCGCAGTAACAGTTCTATTTCTGAAGGTCTGAAATCCGTTTTAGCTAAAAGACTAAACTTTGCAGTCACACCTATACACATACCAGTTAATAATATAATTGCCCGAGTAGATGTAGCTCTCAAGGGCGTGAGTCACATCGCTGCAGACGTGGCACCTGGGTTTGCTCCGTGACCTCCTGCCAGCAGGCATTCGACACTTCACGTGGCCTCAAGGTGCACCAAGCCTGGCACAAGCGTCGTGGTAATGTCACCGCCACTTAGTGGCGAATGGCGGTTGTTGATGGTGCGGGTGAGCGGGTGAGTAGGGGGGGGGTTTCTAGAGAATGTCAAGAGTCTTGGAAGAGGTGGTAGTATCCCACCACACGCAGTGAGCTGCCGATTACAGACTGACGGTGGTGAACCCCTGTCCGCTGCTGCTGATGCGTGGACAGGGCGCGGCGGATTTAAGAACCTCGCCCGCGTCGTTTCAACCGCCGTGCCGGGAGAGACCCGAGGTCGCGCTCCTCTCTCGCTTGCCGGGGACCACGCGGGGCTTCGGCTGCAAATCGACGTTCCCCTCACGCCGTGGTTTTCCCGACCGCCCTGGAACCCACGAGACGCGACCGCCACCACCGCTGCCGCCAACCGTCAAACTGTTTCAGCGTCATGCCGTGTGCATCGATTTAACTATTTTTTATATTACCAGGTAAAGCCCCACTGAGCGATGTAGCTCTTTTGCAGAAGCGACCTGGCTATCACACGTAATGTTAGCCCAACAAAGTGTGGCTTATCATCACTCTAAAACGCGTGACGTTGAGAAAAATCCACGCGACCACGAGGAGAGAGGGAGAACACGCTAACTCCAAATATACAGCAGGCACCGTCAGGGTCGGGACCGAATCCACGACCTCCTGCATACCAGGCGAGGGAGTTAACGTCTCGCCACCGCGGAGCCTCATAATAATGTCAGATTGCAATGCGACACGACGAACCATGCAATATTGTCATAGCGACAGAGACTCCGCGTAAAGAGAGGGGTGCCCGAGTCGGGAATCGAACCCAGGATCCTGTCCCTGTTAGTCGCCGGTGTCCCCGCCGCGGCATCCACGTCGGAGGATCGTTCGCGGTTCCATCCTTTTGCTTCTGATCGCGGTGTGGGTGTGAAGCCAGCACAGGGACTCCTCTACTTACCAAAAACGTAGGCTCCAGAGGTCTGTTCTTAGGTCGATTTGTTCGTAAGTCCAACTTTACTCCTGTCGATTCCAAACAGGTTGTACGGCGTGTACACTAACCATACGAGGAATGGCTTTAAAAGTTGGATCATGTTTTTCATGCTCTGCAAATGTAGATGCCACTGGTTCTTAACGTTCTGCAGATGTAGATGCTACCACCGCCATCTATTGTGCGGTGGTTGAACTTTACAATTCTCCGTCCGAACAGGCAACTGGACATCCAGACAGGTTTGTTTGTATCTCTGAAAGCTCCTAAGTCAAATGTTCGTAAGTAGAGTAGTCCCAGTAATCAACTCTGCACCACCCAGCTGGAGGAGCCAATCGAATCGTTCTGTCGCGTCGTGTTGGCAAAAGTGCCGAGCGATTTGGTTCGTCGGCAAAAGCAGAGGAGGAGGAACGTTGAAAAGCGGTGGCAGACGTTTTGAACAATTCTGTCCGACGTTTCGCTGGGGACTGCGCCCAGCATCGTCAGGCGCTCACAAGGGCTCAGCTCTCGCCGTGCGCGAGGTCGGCACCTGCCCGCCAGCACCACACCCGGCACCACCGCGCCCGTGCCATGCCCGGGCCGAGAGCCGGTGCCCCCATCCCCCCGCACACGGCGCATCGCTATGGCGGCGCCGGCCCGGCGCTCCGACCCGCTATCCGCCCGGCCCCCGACGCAGTTCGCGTTGGGTTCCCGCACGCCGCTCACCCTCGCCCAGCTTCCCCGCCTGCTCGACGGCGCCGTCCGCGATGAACCGGGAGAGGGAGTCGCCGAGGTCGCCGTCGCGCTCGTCAAACTCCCTCTCGGACAGGGCCCTCGCGCCAATGCCGTTCCCTGCACCGCCGGCATCGCCAGCACACACGCGGCACCGCGTCACACACGCGACACTGCACACACGGCAGTGAGGGAGTGAGCGGCTTAATGATCGCGCAGATGAGCAAGCAAGTGAGCGAGTGAGTGATTGCGCAGTTGGGCGGGTGAGCGAGCGAGTGATCGTGCGGGTGTGTGATCGTCCAGGTGAGCCTGGTAAGCAAGTGATCATGCCAGTGAGCAGGTGAGTGGGCAAGCGGGTGGGTGAGCGGGTGGGCGAGCAAGCGAGTGAACATACGGGTGAGTGAGTGATGGTGTGGGTGAGTGAGTGATGGTGTGGGTGAGTGAGTGAGTAAGCGGGCGAGTGAGTGATTGTGCAGGTGAGTGAGCGAGCGAATGAGTGAGTGATGTTGCGGGTGAGCACGTGAGTGAGCGAGTGGGTGAGCGAGTAGGTGAGCAAGCGGGTGAGCGAGCGGGATGAGCGAGTGATGGTGCTGGTGAGCATGTAAGTGAGCGAGTGGGTGAGCATGTGAGTGAGCGAGTGGGTGAGCAAGCGGGTGAGCGAGCGGGTGAGTGAAGGATGGTGCTGGTGAGCACGTGAGTGAACGGGTGAGCGAGCGAGCGGGTGAGCGAGCGAGCGGGTGAGTGAGTGATGGTGTGAGAGAGAGGGCGGGTGAGCGAACGGGCAGGTGAGCGAGCAGGCTAGCGAGCGGGTGAGTGATGGTGCGGGTGAGTGAGCAAGCGAGCGGGTGAGTGAGGGATGGTGCGGGTGAGCACGTGAGCGAGCGGGCGAGCGGGCGAGGGAGCAAGTGGGTGAGTGAGTGATGTTGTGAGCGAGCAGGTGAGCGAGCGAGCGGGTGAGTGAGTGATGTTGTGAGCGAGCGGGTGAGTGATGGAGTGGGTGAGTCAGCGAGCGAGTGGGTGAGTGATGGTGTTAGCGAGCGAGCGAGTGAGCGAGTGGGTGAGTGATGGTGCGGGTGAGCACGTGAGTGAGCGAGTGGGTGAGCGGGCGAGCGAGCGATCGGGTGAGTGATGGTGCAGATGAGTGAGCGAGCGAGTGATGGTGCAGATGAGTGAGCGAGCGAGTGATGGTGCAGATGAGTGAGCGAGCGAGTGATGGTGCAGATGAGTGAGCGAGCGAGTGATGTTGTGGGTGAGCGGGTGAGTGAGTGATGGTGCGGGTGAGTGAGTGATGTTGTGGGTGAGCGGGTGAGTGAGTGATGGTGCAGGTGAGTGAGTGAGTGATGGTGCGGGTGAGCGGGTGAGTGAGTGATGGTGCGGGTGAGCGAGTGATGGTGCAGATGAGTGAGCGAGCGAGTGATGGTGCAGATGAGTGAGCGAGCGAGTGATGTTGTGGGTGAGCGGGCGAGTGAGTGATGGTGCGGGTGAGTGAGTGATGGTGCGGGTGAGTGAGTAAGTGATGGTGCGGGTGAGTGAGTGAGTGAGTGATGGTGCGGGTGAGTGAGTGAGTGAGTGATGGTGCGGGTGAGTGAGTGATGGTGCGGGTGAGTGAGTGATGGTGCGGGTGAGCGAGTGAGTGATGGTGCGGTTGAGCGGGTGAGTGAGTGATGGTGCGGGTGAGTGAGTGATGGTGCGGGTGAGTGAGTGAGTGATGGTGCGGGTGAGTGAGTGATGGTGCGGGTGAGTGAGTGAGTGAGTGATGGTGCGGGTGAGTGAGTGATGGTGCGGGTGAGTGAGTGAGTGAGTGATGGTGCGGGTGAGTGAGTGAGTGATGGTGCGGGTGAGTGAGTGATGGTGCGGGTGAGTGAGTGAGTGAGTGATGGTGCGGGTGAGCGAGTGAGTGATGGTGCGGGTGAGTGAGTGAGTGAGTGATGGTGCGGGTGAGTGAGTGAGTGATGGTGCGGGTGAGTGAGTGATGGTGCGGGTGAGCGAGTGAGTGATGGTGCGGGTGAGCGAGTGAGAGAGTGAGTGATGGTGCGGGTGAGCGAGTGAGTGATGGTGCGGGTGAGCGAGTGAGTGATGGTGCGGGTGAGCGAGTGAGTGATGGTGCGGGTGTGTGAGCGAGTGAGTGATGGTGCGGGTGAGCGAGTGAGTGATGGTGCGGGTGAGCGAGTGAGTGATGGTGCGGGTGAGCGAGTGAGTGATGGTGCGGGTGAGCGAGTGAGAGAGTGAGTGATGGTGCGGGTGAGTGAGTGAGTGATGGTGCGGGTGAGCGAGTGATGGTGCGGGTGAGTGAGTGAGTGATGGTGCGGGTGAGCGAGTCAGAGAGTGAGTGATGGTGCGGGTGAGCGAGTGAGTGATGGTGCGGGTGAGCGAGTGAGTGATGGTGCGGGTGAGCGAGTGAGTGAGTGAGTGATGGTGCGGGTGAGTGAGTGAGTGATGGTGCGGGTGAGCGAGGCACACCCGTGGCGTGCAGCGGCTTGAAAGCGGCCCCGTTGGGCACCTCGCCGTACGGTGACAACCCCTGCAGACAGAGGGAGCGCGCGGGGGGAGTTCAAGCGCCTGGGTTCAACTCGGGCGTCTCTCCCTGCGGAGCGTGCGGCACCCCCCCCCCCGTCATGGGTGGGCTCCCTCTGGCTTCACGTTGACAGGTAAAAGATAAAGATGCCCCGTAACAGCCTCAGCAGAACTACTGGGGCAACACATACGTAGACGGCCAGAGACACGTACAGCCGCCTTTGTCTCCCCGGTTCTGATTGTGTCCAGAAGTGCGCCAGGTTCTCGTTTGAGGCTGGGTCGACCGAGGGGAGGGCACCGGACCAGTTCATATCAATAAACACACACACACAGTGTGAGTGGTGGTGGTGGTGGTAGTGTAACCAAATAAATAAATAAACACACACAGTGTGAGTGGTGGTAGTGTAACCAAATACACACACGGCCCGAGAACCACCCCCACTGTACCTCGTTCTGCTGCAAGGCAAGAAACTGTACAGTGTCGCCCCCCCCCTCGCCCCCCGTTCCTCGGCCCCCCTCCATCACCCCCCCCCCCCCTCTTTCCTCGCCCCCCCTCCCTCGCCCCCCTCTCCCCTCTCCCCCCACAACTCACAGAGGGAGTTTTGCAATCGCCCCCACAGAGCCGCCCCCAATCGTTGCCGTTCACCCAACAACTCGCGTCGCCACGGCAACGGACCCCCACCCGTTCCCCCGCGCACCCTGCGATGGTTGCCATGGTGATGTCTCGGATGCTGCTGCCGAAGCTGCTGCTGCTGCTGCTGCTCGTGGTTGTCGTGGTTGTTGTGGTTGTTGTGGTTGTTGTGCATCGCGGTTGCCGCGGGCGACCCCGGAGACGCCGCGGGTCCGACGGCGGCGGCGGCTGCGGCGGCGCGGAGGAGGAGGAGGAGGTCAGGCCCGCCGCCACGACGACGACTTCGCCGGGAGGAGGCTGCCTCCTCCTCCTCCTCCCACGGCTGATGCGCTTGACGGGGCAGACGCAGCGGCGTGTGACCGGGGGGAGTGGGGGGGGGGTGCCCCCCACTACATTCCCACCCCCCACTACTTCACCCCACTACCCCCCCCACTATCCCCCCCACCCCCCACTACCCACCCCCCACTACCCCCCCACTATCCCCCCCACTACTCACCCCCACTACCTCCCCCCCACTAACCACCCCCCACTACCCCCCCACTACCCACCCCCCACTACCCCCCCCACTATCCCCCCACCCCCCACTACCCACCCGCACTACCCCCCCACTATCCCCTCCACTACCCCCCCCCCCCCACTATCCACCCCCCACACAACGCGGGTGATCGTTTTAGACACCGCCAGCGGATGGAGGGATGATTGGATGAGTCAAGGTCACTCGCCCAACTGATGAGGATGAGAACTCCCAACCTGGGGATCGTGACACGCGGAGGAGGACAGTGCGGTGGTGGTGGTGAGTCGTGGTGGAGGTGGTGATAGTGGTGTTGGTAGCGGTGATGATATTGGTGGTGGTAGGGATGATGGTTGTGGTGGTGTTGGTAGGGGTGATGATAGTGGTGGTGGTGGTGTTTGCAGGGGTGATGATAGTGGTGGTGATGATGGCGTTGGTAAGGGTGATGATAGTGGTGGTGGTCACAGATCGTGCATCTGGTAACCATTATGATAATCGTGGCGGTGGTCGTGACAAGAGGTGCTGATGGCGGTGGCGCTGTCGACGGCGGTGCTGATGGCGGTGCCGGTGTCATCCACGCATTCGGTCGCACGCGACGCGGTTACCTTGCCCGCCGGGGAAGCCGACGAGCCGCTGGTTTAGGGGGTCCAGGCGGGCCCCCTTCCCTGGCTGCCGCCTGCGCGCCTCCCGCTCTGTCAGCCGCTGCCGCACCTCGAGGGGCGGGCGGCCGGAACCCGGCGCCTCGTCCCACTCGGGGGCCGCACGGGCCCGCCGCTCGGGGCTGGCGGCCTGAGGACGCTCGCGAGCCCGGCCCGACCCGGCGCGGTCGGCGCCCGGCACCGCCGCGTCGGCGCGGCGGTGCCGGGGCGGCGGGAATCGTGGCGGCGGCGGCGCGTTGGGGTCGCAGGAGTAACGCTCGGCGTAGTCGTGGAGGGGAGGGCCGTAGCCGTTGTAGCTGATTTCGCCGTCGTCGTCGTAAAGGAGAACGCTGTCACCGGCCGCACGGTGACGGCAGCAGAGGCAGCAGCGACAGCAGAGGCAACAGCAGAGGCAACAGCAGAGGCAGCAAAAGCAGCAGCAGCAGAGGCATAAGAAGCGGAGGTCATTCACTCTGACGTCACCGCCACACCCAAGTGTGGCTAACGTGGTTCAGGTTAAGGTTCACAAGAAGCCAGAAGGGCCATCCTGGCATGGGTTAGGGTTCACGAGAATCCGGTAGAGCCAGCCTGGCTTGGGTTGTGGTTCGCGAGAATCCCGTAGAGCTAGTATGGCACTCGGGGTAACAGTGATTCTGTTTTTTTTATGCAGCTGCCCTCTTACACCCAGAGAGCTTCACATTGCATCCGAAACATAATATGGGATTGCTGTGGTTATAGGGCCATGCCTAGGTCATGGTTAGGGTCACAGTTAGGGTCACGGTTAGGGTCACGGTTAGGGTCATGGTTATGGTCATGGTTCGGCTTAATGCCAATGTCCGGTTGGCTGACTTAGGGGGACATCTCGTATTTCACTGCTCACCCGCCGAGCGGCGTGGCCGTATCGCCGTGCCGGCGCCGGGGCCTCTCCTCCGGCCACGCGAGCGTGCTGTCGTAGCGGCCCGTGTACCCCATGTCAGCGTCGGAACCCAGCCCGAAGGCACCGGCGGCAGCCGCCGCCAGCCTTTGCTCCATGTTCTGCTGCCGCTTGTGCTTGCCGCGCTTGGAGATGACGGCTGATGAGAAGGCCTTCGAGACGGGCCTGTGCCCGGGCCTCTCCTCGGCATGCCGCGACTCGGCCCGTACAGCCCCCAGCGGCTCCCCGCCGTTGCCGTCGCCCCGGTAGAACCGCGCCAGGTTCCTCGGCAGGTTCTGCTCGTAGGCGTCATCCGCGAACTCTGCGTCGGCCCTGTACGGGCTCCTGCCGAACGGCAGCTCACGCTCGGGCGGCCGGTGGTGCTGCCGACACTGCAAGGGGTCGCCCGCGGCGACGACGCTCGGCGCCGGCGTCCTCGTCAGCTCGCCAATGTCGTCGATGAGCTCGTAGTTGCGTGGGACGCTCTGCTCCAAGTCAGCGTAAAATGCGTCCGAGTTGGCGGCGAAGCCGACGGCGGCAGCCAGGTCGCGCAGCGGCACCGTCGTGGCATCGCTGCTCGGCCCGTCGTCGTCCCTGCCGCCACGGGCCGCCGAGCGCCGACGTGCCAGCAACGCCCCCAGCAGCTCCTCTTCGGCCACCACCTCGTAGTTCGTCTCGAGGTTCGGTTCCAGGTCCAGCGACGCTTGCCGGGCCTTGAGCTGCGGCACCGGCGCTGTGAGGCCGGGGTACGGGGCCGTGGGGATGGCGTAGGGGAGCGAGCCGGACGATGGCGCATAGCCCCTCGGCGCCGCCGCGCCATCGGCCTGGCGCAACTGCGGATAAGCCAGGTAGGACGACGATGGGAAGATTCGGCAAGGCGGGACCGGGCCGGCCGGTGCCGGGTAAAGTTCCGGGAAGCACGCCTCCTGCTGGCGCCGCGCCAGCGAGAAGCCCGGCCCCGCCAGCCCGGCGTCAAGTCCCAGGGCACGCGCTGTGGGGTAGCGTCCGGGGTCGGCGGCGCCACCGACGTCGCCGCTGCCGTTCCTCTCCGCCTTGCGGCCGAGGCCCCGTTCCAGGTTGCGCATGCGGGCGTCGATCTCGCGCTCCTCGGCGTCCAGCTCCTCCTGGCGCTGGCGCAGCTTCGCTGAGTCGTGTTCCACCCGCTCCAATTCCGCGTCGATCTCACGCAGGATTTGCTTGCGCTGCACGGGCGCGACACCGGGCCCCGCCAGCGCCACCGATCGCCCGTCGGGTCCGCCCGACCCCGGCGCGCTGTCCCTCGTCGACGCTGCTGATGGCGCCGGCGATGGAGATGAGGCGGCGGGCCCGGTGGGTGGCCGTTCCTCCATGGGAGGGTTGGGCAACGTCCTCTTTACCTTGCGGCCCGTGCCGGGGCCGTCAATCTGCAAGGGAGAACGGCACGCATGCTGTCAGGCCGTCAACTATGCATCGCTACGGCAGAAAGCCTGGGTTTATATCGATCACATAAAGGCCGGCTGGCCGAGTTTCGCCCTCAACGGGCCTCACTGGTCAAGCTGAGGGCTCTCAGCCAATATCCTCCGGCGACAACGGCGGTCACAGGGCCTGACGACCAGCCACGGAGGCCAGAAGGGCGACGGCCTGAAACGTTTATTCAGATAAACGAATAACAACAATAAAACATAACAATTAAGGCATTTCACTGAATCACCAAATAATTTAATCCAACACCGTATGATAACATTTAATTGAATGCGCAACTTCAAATAAGTATGGTACGTACGGTGCGAAATAACCAACATACAAAGATACAACGCTCATGCTCACCCCAGCCTTGGAGCGCTGGAGCCCACGGTGACTCCTGGCTCCGTTGTCGTCCTCCTCCTCCTCGTGCCGCCGAGAGGGCGGCCCCTGCTTCCCCTGCCGCGCCGCCGGCGTGGGCGGCAGGTGCTTCTGCGGTGACACGTGCGCCTTGTTGAGCCTCTCGCTGGTGCCGAACGGCGCGTCCAGTGGCTTGCCGCATGCCAGCGGCGACACGGGCGAGAACAGAAGCTTGGGCGACCGGGGCGATGCCTCGCCAGCCCCGGCGTCACTGGGATGGAAGCCGGCCGCCCCAATCTCAAGCGGTGCCGGCCGCCTCCCGCCGTCGCCGTCGGTCTGGCAGCCGGAGCTCCGGCCCAGGTGGGTCCGCTCGGGCTTCGAGATGTCGTAGAAGTCGTCACGGTCGCTGACGCGAGACGGCGCCCGGCGCCGGCTCTGTTTGCTACCGAACAGTCGGCGCTGGTCTGGACGCCGACGCTCGATGTAAGGGCGCGGGCCGGCGGAGAGCCGTCGCCCACGACGGCTTCGCGGCCCGGGCCGCTGGCCCTCGCACTCCTCCCCCTCCTCCTCCGGGAAGAACTGCCCCAGCCAGCGCTGCCACGGCCGTCCTCGTCGTCCGTCTGCACGCCGCAGTCCACGCCGTTGCGGCGCGAACGCCGGCGCTCATCGCCGTCGTCGTCCGTCCGGACACCGCGATCCAACCACGGCCGCCGGACTGATCCCGTGCCGACGTTCTGCTCCTCTTCGTCATCCATCTCTTCGTCCTCCTCCTCCCAGTATGACGATGACCGCGCTCCTCCACAGCCACTACCCAGGCTCCTCCGCCGGGGTGGCCTACGCCATCGGGCATCGCGGAGCGAGAGCTCGGCCGCGGGCCTGGCGACGCTGTGCCGGGAGGGCCGGCGGGGGACGCGGCCGCCGGCGCCGGCCTCGTGCGGTCCCGGTGCCGGCCAGCATGGCCCGCCGAGCTCTTGCCCGGCCCTCGTCGTCCACCACGGCCCCACGTCGCGGCCGAATGCGGCGGCGGCAGCTACGGAGGCGACCGACGGGGTCGCCTGGATCATCTTCTGCTCCTCCAGCTGCTGCTGCAGCTGCGTCTGCAGCTGCTTGATCTTGTCGATCTGCACGTGGTGGTGGACCATCTGCTCCTGCTGCAGGGACAACTGCTCGCGGCGCTCCTCTTGCTGCCGCCGGAAGAGGCGCCGCTTCATGCCGTGCAGCTCGCTCAGCTCCTGCTCCACCAGGCGCTTCTCTTGGTCGAGGCGCAGGCGCATCTCCACGCGCTCACACTCCATCTCCTCCTGCAGGCGCCTCTGCTTCACCTTCTCCAACTCAAGTATCTGCTGCTGCAGCTGCACGTGCTGCTGCTCTGCCTGTTTCTCCCGCAGCAGTTCGTGTTCTTCCGGCTCCAGGGACCACCGGCGCCCTTCCGCCTCCACCGTCACCTCCCCCTCGTCCCACCGCTGCCCGACAAGGGCCCCCTCCCTCGTGTGCGGCGCGATTGTGTCGAGGACGTACGGACCCAGCCGCTGCGTCGCGTTCTCCTCGGAGCATCCTGGCGGAGCGCCGTCGCCGCGGGGGCCCGGGCCGTAAGCGCCGAAGTAGCCTCCCGGGCCCGCCACGGCCACCGCCGCTGCCGTGCACAGCTGCGGGATGCCGTAGCCCAGGTGGCCACTGGCGGTCTTCGCGGTGGCGGTGACAGCATCAGGGGAATATGCCTGGGTGCCAGCACCGGCCAGCACCGCCGAGAAGCTCCGCGACCCTGACCCCCTCCGCCACTGCTGCTGCTGCACAACCGTCGGCAGGAAGTCTTCAAAGTTCGGCGCCGCTTCCATGCGGCCGGTCGCCCCAGTTCCGATAGCCGGCGGCGCCCAGAGGGCCCATGATGGACGACGGCTGCGCGGTTACGGGGACAGCAGGCGCCAGGTAATCTGCGGCCTCGGACGGCGCCGCCACCGCCGCCACCAGCGCATTCAGCGCCGGGGCACCCACGCCGTAGCCGGCGAGGGCGAGCTGGCTCGTCGGCGCTGCGCCCTTGCCATCGCTGTAGGTCGACCACTCTTGCTGCAGCGAGGTGAGTTCCGTGCACAGCTTGTTTATCTCCCGGATGGTCTCCTCGGTCGACCGGAAGTCCACGTGCGCCCCCCTGGACGCACCGCGGCCACCGCTGCCATCATCGCACTCCATCTTGGAAATGGCGTGGTCCGAGTTGTAGCGCCGCATGGGCCTCAGGCCGCACTCAGTGTACGCCCCCAGGGCGAACTTGGCGCCCAGGCCGACATCACCCGACAGGAGGCTGCCTCGCGCCACAAAGCCGTTCTTGGCTGTCAGGTCCATGACCTTGCCCGTCCCCGCGCCGTCGTATCCGAAAGGGCAGCTGCCGTAGGCACCGATGCCCGCCAGGTTGGTGTCGGAGAAGGAGGAGCGCAGGGGGCCGAGCGGGAAGCAGTGGTAGGCGCTCGCGGATTCGTGCCGGCGGTGGAGATCGGCCTTCCCCTGCGCCACGACGGCGGGCGGCGGCGATGAATCTGACGGTGGCTTCCCCCAGAGCGAGGGCGAGCGGAGAAATGGGAAGCTGGTAGACGACGTCGCAGCACGTCGCTCGCCTCCCGTCGCCGCCCCGGACGAGATCCGCCGGGCCCTCCCCAGGCCCCAAGAGGCCGCTCGCCGCCTCGTCGGGCCTCCCGTCCGGAGACGTGGCCGCAACCCTCGAGCCCGGGCCATGCCCGCCACCCACCATGCCGTTCGGGCAGTTGTTGTACTTTGGCCGGCCAGCGGCACCGAGGCATCGCTCGGCCTGCTCTGCCCGCTGACGCCTCCGCACCGTGCCCTGCTGCGGCCTTCACCGAGGAATCGGCGGTGATGATGAGACCGAACGCCGGCCCGTTCGTTGGCGCCATAGTGGTGGCCGATGCATTCTGGGCCAGGTTTAATGGCTTGCTGATGCTGTTGCTGATGTTGCTGGTCGTGGTGGTGGTGGTGACATCATGCGGCGACGGCACAGGCCTGGCGGCCACTTTGTAATTTGTAGGCACGTTCGTGCCACGGTTCACAATCGTCACCTTCTGGCTCTGGCTCTGGCTCGTGTTCAAATCCAGCGCGCTCAGGTTCACGATCCCCGGCTTCACCACGCTGCCCGGCTTGTTGGCGGCGCCGACACCGACGTTATCACCACCAAAGCGCCGGCTCTCCGAGGCGAACAACGTCAGGTCCACGCCCTGGTCCGTCATGATGAGCGGCTGCATCTTGAGCATGCGCAGGTCGACAACCCGAGACTTTGCCCCGCCGCATCTGGCCTCCTCCTCCTCCTCCTCCACCTCCCCCCTCTGGACAAATCCATCATCCGGCCATTGGCAGGTTTGCGGGCGAGCGAAGGCCCTCAATGGGTCGCCAGGCTCCTCGCCCGAGGCATGTGAGCACGGTGCAGAGGACACCGTCGGAGGCCTTGAAATCACGTGGTCGACAGATTCTCCTGCGTCGTACAGCAGCGCCATGGGGTTCAGCTCGGAGGAAAAGTACAACTCCGCATCGACAGAGGAGCTGCGTCTGCCCCCTCTGCCGCTACCCCCGCCAGTGCTGCCAGCGCCGCCACCAGCACCCTGGCTGAAGCTGGACAAATTGTGCAGGATGGAGGCCTTCTCCGTCGCATCATCATCCACGGCGAATGAGAAGTCGTAGCTAGAGCTCCTGAAAAGTGGCGGCGGCTGCTTAACACTCGAAGAGATGGGCGTCTGTGGCTCCCGCCAGTAACCCAACGAGCTCGTCAAGCGCACGTCCTCGGCAACGGCCGGTGCTGTCACCAGCTGCTGCTGCTGCTGTGCCAACGAAGGAGAAGCCGAACACGGGACGGTGTGAGTAGTGACGGTCACGTCCGAGGCCACGGGTCGGTAGTCATGCTGCGAGTTGGCCTCCGGCAATGCCTCCGCTGATTCGGTAGTATCAGCGCCATCCTCATGGTCGGTAAAGTGCTGAGTTATTCGCACAGCAGGAATGGCCGGGAAGGTGATGGCGGTGGCGACGTGTGGCCTGGCGGCGGGAATCGTGGCGCCGGCGCCGCAAGACAGGTTCACGATGTCGCCCGGCCTCCCTTGCCCGCAAGAGGCAGGTGATGGCGAAGCCAGCTGCGTCGGGCTGATGCCGGGCGTGAGCAGAGGGGTAACGTCGCCCAGCAGGTCGCCATAGCCATACCTTGCGCCCAGGTAATCCGCGCCGCTCCCCGTCGCTGCCGACATGGTTGGCGTCACGGTGCTCGTCGCTTCCCCGCATGCCCGAAGCTCGCGACTCCGGCTGAAGTCGAACACCGCGTCACCATCCGTCTCCTCCCTGTAGGGCCTCCCTGACGTTCCGTGCCATGCATCGCCGGGGCCAGCGTCGCCGGGGCAAGTGTCTCCGCCTCCTGTAGCGCATGGCGATGCCCCAGCGCGGCCCGCCGTCGTCGCCTCCACCACCGCCGTCGGACCGACACCGCCATCGTCCACCGGCCGCGCTCGCGACTTTATCATCATTTCCTCGTACGCCTCCTCGGCGCTCTTGAGCACGCGCTCGGACGATGCGCGGCTCCGCGCCGCGTACGACTCGGAGCCCTCGTGGCTGGCGCTGCGGTTGATGGACGTCAGCTGCTTGAACTCCTCCTGCAGGCGGTAGATCTTCTCAGCGTAGGACTCAAAGCCCTCGGGCTCCGACTCGATGCTGGGCGAGTACTCGGAGCAGGAGGAGCGCCGCAGCTCCTCCATCTCGGCCGCCTGTCGCAGCTCCTCGGTAGGCGACGCGTCCTCGATGGGCGACAGGTTGCTGGGCGACGCGCGTGACCGTTGCCTCCGCCGCTGGGCCCTCAGGTCCTCGCGTTCGCGCTTGGACCTCCTGCCGGCACTCCTGCGCTGCTGCTGCTGCTGCAGCTCAGCTTCGTGAAGCTGCTCCTGCTCGCGCAGCGCCACCCGCCCCTCGAGCGCCTCCTCCTCCTCCGACGAGTCTACAATCGCGGGCGGCTGCTGGTTCTGCGAGTGCGAGCGGTTCTTCCTGGGCACGCCGACCTCGTCGTCCGCTGCCCTCCCTCCGCCGACGACGGCGCCGACACTGACGCCGCGGCAGCCCGGGCTCGCGTCGCTGTCGTCCTCGAGCGAGGAGACGGAGGGCGATGTGGCACTCCCGGCCGTTCGGCTTGACAGAGGGAGGCAGCTGGACGAGCCGTTCCCCGGCGAGCGGTCGTCGGGGCTGCTGCCCAGGCTCTCCAGCTCGGGCTCCCTGTCGAAGCGCAGGCTCTCGCCGGGGCTACTCACGGAGCTCGCGCTCTCGCTGTCCTTGCAGGGGCCGAGTTTCACCGCCCTCGAACAGCCTCCGGCGTCGCCCGCCGGCGCCGTTCCCCCGCCGGTGGTCAGCTGCAGGACTTTGCGTATCAGGTCCTCCTCCTCGTCCCTCTCCCTCCCGTCGATGGGGGCGGCGGGAGGCCCGTAGCCCCGTGGGCCGCGGCCACTCACAAGACCCTGCAGAAGCCGCGGTAGTGGCGACGGCGTTCCTTCGCTGCTGTCCTCCACCATGTCGTGCCGCTGGATCCGCTCCAGCTCCTCCTCCAGAGAGTCCAGGCTGCCGCCGCACGTCCGCAGGGCCCTCGCTCGCTCCGCCGGAACCGCTGTCGACGCCGCCGCCGTGTCCCTCCCCCGGGCCCCGTTCTGGACCTCCGCGGCGATGGGGAGCGACCGTGGCCGGGGCCGCCCTGCGGGGCCTTCGGGCGGCGACGGCGCGGCCCCCGCGGTTCGCGCACGGCCCTCGCCGGCGCCGTCGTCGCCGGGGCCGGGGTACCCGACCGGCACACGAGGCCGCTCCCCGGGGTCCGACTCCGCCGAGGTGGCGCGCTGGAGGTCGTCGTCAGCGGGGGGCGAGCGGCGCCAGCGGGTCGGTCGCGGAGAGGCGCCTGGTGCGGGGCGGTCCTGCGCCTTCGCTCCCCTGCGGGTGAGAATGTCCGCCCAATCAGGAAAATCTAATGACGACCGCCCCAGGTCGATCCATCGCCGAATGAGAGAGGGTCTCCACTTCGCCATGTGCATCATGTGGTTCATTCGACCATACTTCACCGCTCTGGTCAGTTTCGGGTTTCAGTGAAGGTGGAGAGCATAGTTGTGGGAGCATAGTACAGTGCAGTACAACAATGAATTCTGCTGCTGCTGTTTTGCTGACAAATGATCCCCACAGCACCAGCCAATAGCACCTGTTTGCATGCATGGCGAGTGCCTATCCAAGCATTATCCAGGAACAAACCCTGCTTAACTGTCAAGATCTAATGAGAATGCAACCTGGGTGCAAAAGCCTGGCAGTGGTGGTGGTGGTGGCGATGGCGGTGGTGGTGGTGGTGGTGGTGGCGGCGGTAGTGGTGGTGGTGGCGGTGGCGGTGGTGGTGGAAGTGGGGGTTGGGGGTGGTGGTGGTGGAAGTGGTGGTGGTGGTGGTAGTGGCGTTGGTGGTGGTGGTGATGACGGTGGTGGAGGTGGTGGCTATGCCTCACGTGGATGCCAGTAACCCAGCACTGTAGAGGCATAATCGAGGGGGGGTTTTTTGGGGTTAGATCGCGTGGAGGTGCCATATCATGACTTGCCAGAAGAAGGGGGTGAGGACTAATCGCCATCTGTTCCATCTCCCTTTCCTGTGGGCATCCAAGAGGTTCCGTACTCTGGCTCGCCAGTAGAAGGCGGGACAGCAATTGGACTAAACTCCATCCGTTTCTTCCGTCTGTACGGAACAAACAGATGCTCTCTCGCGCAAAGGTGTGGGGGGTTTTCTCCAGGCGCTCCGGTTTCCTCCCCTCACACGTCAATAATACACACAACTCATGAATAAATAATAATAAACACAACTCGTCATCGATTGCTTGGAAACATCTCACAAATAAAATCCTCATTGTAGCAGCAGTAGCAGCAGCAGGGGCGGCGGCAACGGCAGGACCCTCCTAATGAGTCACACGACTCGGCGTGGCTGAGTCACCAAGGCTGAGTCACCAAGGCTGAGTCACCAAGGCTGAGTCGTAGGCACAGCAGTTCGCAGCGATAGAAGCTGCCTCAGCGGCTGTGGCCTCAGCAGCGGCGGTGTAACACTGCATTTGGCATCTTATCGACGCTGAGTGGCTCACTCCAACTATATCACTTGCATTGTTGTTCTGCTTGTTTACCCAGGAACGCCTCACTCGGAGTCTCAACAATCGTATTTCATGAGGGTCCTGCCAGGTTTTCGCAAGAAGGGCGCAATGCCGCTGCCGTTGCTGCTGCCTTTGCTGCCGTTGCTGTTGTGCGTGTTATCCCAACTTAGTAACTTCCAGGGTAATTGTTCAGGCTGCGCTGAGTCTACAGCTATCACAGCGATTAAAATTACTTGAATTCTTCTCAACTTCAATTGATTCTCTAACTAATCTTGGCCAGTAATAATTAGTTCTGCATAACACTTCAACGTTATCAAAATCAATTGAATGTCCTTGTTGGCAAGCATGCTCTGCCACTGCTGACAGTTGTGTTCGAGAGAATTTAATGTTCCTTTGGTGTTCTTTTAGTCTTACGCTAATGTTACATCCCGTCTGTTCAATATAACACTTACCGCATAAGCAATTGATCCCATATACACCTTCTGTTGATAACTTCAGTAATTCATCTTTAGTACAAGACAATAGTCTTTGGAATTTTGTGTACCGTACGAAATCTCACTTTAATGTTTTGCAAAACACGGGCTAATTTGTCAGTAACTCCCGAAATATATGGTACTTTAATTGTTTTGATAATCTGATCACTTTCAGTAGTATTGTTGTTCGATCTTGGAAGGAGCAGCAATGGGCTCTCCTTTGTCTCCTACTATAGCAAGTCTCGATTTAAAGCTTTCGTGACTGCAGGGATTCATCTTCTTGGTTCTTTCGGTAAATAAAAATAAAACATAATAAAATAAAATAATTCTCACTGAAAGTGATAATTATTTTATTTTATTATGTTTTATTTTTATTATTTTATTACTTCCCTTCTACGTGACTACCGAAAGAACCAAGAAGATATAGCAAGTCTGTACATGGAAAACTTTAAAACAAAGCACTTACCTCAAGTACATTAAAACCATATTTTTGGTTTAGATATGTCGATGACACTTTGGTTGTCTGCCACATGGTAAAGGTACACTTACTGAATCTTTAAATAATCTCAATGCGCAATACCCGGCCATTCAGTTCACCATGGAAATGGAGGTGAACAACACACTCCCATTAATGGATATTTTGCTTGGCGCGGTCAAAAGGGAAAATGAACACGCAGCGTCTACCGAAAGGGAACGCACACAGATGCCTATAAAATGCAGATTCGCATCATCACCGAGCACAGAAATCCTCTCTCATCAAGAAGCTCATACATCGGGCAAAGACAGTGTCAGAGGGTGAAAGTTTAAGGAAAGATATTAAACATGTTAAAGAAGCACGAAGACTGAATGGCTACAATAATGCTCAAATTAACAGAGCATTGAATGCCAAATCAAGATCGAACAACAATACTACTGAAAGTGATCAGATTATCAAAACAATTGAAATACCATATATCTCGGGAGTTACTGACAAATGAGCCCGTGTTTTGCAAAAGCAAAACATTAAAGTGAGATTTGGTCCGGTACACAAAGTTCAAAAACTAGCGTCTTGTACTAAAGATTAATTACAGAAGTTTTCAACAGAAGGTGTAAATCGGATCAATTGCTTTATGTGGTAAGTGGCAGAGGTGTGGACTCGAGTCATGTGACTTGGACTCGAGTCAGACTCGAGTCATGAATTTGATGACTTCAGACTCGACTTGGACTTGCATAACAATGACTTTGTCCCACCTCTGAGGTGTGGACTCGAGTCATGTGACTTGGACTCGAGTCAGACTCGAGTCATGAATTTGATGACTTCAGACTCGACTTGGACTTGCATAACAATGACTTTGTCCCACCTCTGAGGTGTGGACTCGAGTCATGTGACTTGGACTCGAGTCAGACTCGAGTCATGAATTTGATGACTTCAGACTCGACTTGGACTTGCATAACAATGACTTTGTCCCACCTCTGAGGTGTGGACTCGAGTCATGTGACTTGGACTCGAGTCAGACTCGAGTCATGAATTTGATGACTTCAGACTCGACTTGGACTTGCATAACAATGACTTTGTCCCACCTCTGACTGGTGTGGACTCGAGTCAGACTCGAGTCATGAATTTGATGACTTCAGACTCGACTTGGACTTGCATAACAATGACTTTGTCCCACCTCTGGTAAGTGGTATATTGGACAGACGGGGCGTAACACTAGCGTAAGACTGAAAGAACACCAAAGGAACATTAAATTCTCCCAAACACAGCCATCAGCAGTGGCAGAGCATGCTTTCCAATAAGGACATTCAATTAATTTTGATACAGTTGAAGTGTTATGCAGAACTAATTATTACTGGCCAAGATTAGTGAAAGAATCAATTGAAGTTGAGAATAATTAAAATAATTTTAATCGCTGTGATAGCTATAGACTCAGAGCAGCCTGGAAGCGCATTATTAAGTAATACAGAAACATTGTAATTCCTTACAGGTGAGTCACATGCTAAGTAGCTGATTACTGGTCTATTTCATAAAAATATACACCCCCACCTCCGCTTCTGATCTCGAATCCTGATGGGGTTCAACAATGATGACGTCATCCTGCACTATTGAAGACCGGAAGCAGTTGGATGGCTTCACTATTCTGGCAAATCGCCTGAAGATGCTGAATGTAATTTTCTGCGAAACAGCCACTACTCCAATTGTAAATGTTATGGATCCACTCTTCAACACACCAGTGGGCTAAAGTAGTGAAATATTTGTCTTTTGTCAACGTGACACATTTTTTACTGATTGGCCGTGTTGGGTGGTAGAGGGTTGTGACACATTTATAAATAACGCGATCTAACCCAAAAACCTTTATTGTGAATTATACTGGTCGCGAAAGCCTACGTGTTAAACTAACTTTACTCTCACTCACAAAGATAAGGTTTCCCCGTATAGCCTTGACAGACGTTTCGAGCAAGTGCTGTTAGCGAGCACCTATGAAGGCTGGCATGGCACACGAGGTGGTGGGTGGCTAGCACCACGCCCGGCTGCCTTTGTCTCCCCAGTAGCGATGTTACACACCGCACCAGGTACTCATTTGAGGCTGAGTCGACCTAGGGGAGTCCCAGGACCGGTTCAGATCATCTTTACTGGTTGTTGGCCGTGAGCGGGAATTGCTCCCGGGTCGGCGGGTTCATAGCACAGAGCGCTAACTGCTGCACCACCATTGGAACCTCATTTGCCAGTAATAAAATATGATAAAAAAAATGTACCCTTTAAACTGCCAACAAAACTGACACCTTTTTTTACGAGGAGTCATGTTTGCATTAACCACAATGCCTGCAGTCGGAATGAAAACAAAAACATAACTCTGATAATGTATGCACTGTCCTTGAAATTGATTGGTCCACACCCGAGACAGCTTTCTTTAGAGCCTAGTCTCACATGGTGTTGGACCAGATGACGCCAAAAGGCGCACAACTCAAGGACAATGAACCATCAGAGTATGGGAGCTCGGGGTAAGCATTTACACAATTGTTGCCAGTTAAAAGGGTAAAAAACCAATTGTCATATTTTGTTACTGGCAAATGAGGTTCCAATGGTGTCACCACACAGAGAAGCGCCCGAGTCAAGCATCGAACGCACAGCCACTCCCTGCCGTCTGATGGATTCCCTGCCCCAAGCGGAAGACTGATTGGAGGACTCGGTTAGGGACCCGTCCCATCCCTAGTGGTGGTGGAGCCAGAAGCAGTCCACCACCACCACACCTCGCTCAGCTCCACGCGGCACCAATCCAGCTCCTGACGGAGGAACGGCAGCTCTGCTCGCCACCTCTCCCGGACGTTCGGACATCGCACGCGGTGGTGGCGGCCGCTGTCGCAATTGCCGGTTGATCCTGGAGGTTCCTTGAGCGCGGTGGGCCAACCAGGGCAGAGGATGAGGGCGGGGTGGGGGGGACGGGAGGTACCCCCCACCCCCCCCACAAGCTCTTGGTTAAGGAGCCGCCTGAACGATCTACCGCCGTTCCCGAGTGGGGCGCGTTCAATAATTGATGTGGCGCGTGCGTGCGTGTGCATGCGCTCTCTCGTGTATAATTCAGCGGCGCCGCACAAACAACCAGGGTGGGAAAGGGAAGGGGGGGAAACACCCTGCGGAGAGGAAGCACGAGCGGCCGCGTGGCGCGACGCGGACTCCGCCACTTGCTCCCTCGCCCGCCGGCCGCTCGCGTGCGGGAGACGCTCCACCGGCGGTGTCCGAGGGTTGCGCTCTTCGCGAGCCGCGACGTCGCCGGGGATCGATCGCTTGGCCACCCGCCCGGAGTCTCGAGGTCCGCTTCTTCGAACGAGATTCTGATCACCTCCGGGTTGGTTTGGGGCCCAATTTCCACTAATGAGTTTGGATTCGAATCGGAGGAAACCGGAGTTCACCCAGTAAACATAACAAAAACTAAACTATATTTGATTATTTTAAAGGTAAGGCCCACTGGGCTCTATAGCCCTTTTTCAGAAGCGACCTGGCTATCACAAATGATAGCTCAACGATCAGTGGATTACCATGTGGACATTTATAGAAAAATCTACGCAATCACGGGGAGAGAGAACATGCAGACTCCAAATATACAGCAGGCGTCAGGGTCAGAATCAAACCCACAACCTCTTGCGTACCAGGCGAGGGAGTTGACATCTCGCCAACGTGGCGCCCAAAGCCACCGTGCCAGGGGAAAACACTCAACAGCTCTGTGTCTGCTGAGTGTGGCGGTTGTGGCGGTGGTGGCGGTGGTGGTGGTGGTAGTGGCGGTGGTGGTGGTGGCGGTGGCGGTGGCGATGGTGGCGGTGGTGGTGGCAGTGGCGGTGGGAGTGGTGGTGGCGGTGGTGGTGGTAGTGGTGATGGTGGCGGTGGTGGTGGTGGCAGTGGCGGTGGGGGTGGCGGTTGTGGCGGTGGTAGTGGCTGTGGTGGTAGTGGTGGCGGTGGCGTAGGCGGTGGTGGCGGTAGCGGTGGTGGTGGTGGCAGTGGCGGGTGTCCGCGCCACACGTGGCAGCAGCTTGCAGCCGCAGCGCTGTGGAGGTACCAGCGAGGGTTGGTGGATCACGCACAGAAGTCCACATGGACTTTGCAAAGCAAACTTGTGGACTGCCACCTGTTCGGACTGGATGGGGATAGAGCATTGCCCCCTCGCACCGCAAGGGTTTTCTTCGCGTGCTCAGGTTTCCTCCCACATGGAAACACCCATTAATTGGCCGGTAACCCCTTCATATATAGAGGACCGCAGAGCTTGTGAGGAAGGATCTCGCTGCTGCTCCTGCTCGCTTCCCGCTCAGTCTGTGGTTCATCCTCCTCGTGCCTCTGAGTCGTCCTCTCTATCTTAACAGAGCGATGAGCGTATAAAAAAATGTACGAATATTTACCCAAGAAATCGACACCCGAGTCTTTCGGAAGAGTCCAGCTACATTGGGACATGTGGCCAACACCGATTCCACGTGTGTGTGTGAGTGTGCTTACCCTATTAGAAGGACATACCTGTGTGTGTGTGTCCTCTACTCCACGTCTCACAGCGTAATTCCTCGCATGCGTCTGATTTGGACTTGCGGATTTCACAATGATCCGGACACTCACCATACTCAGCAGCTGCTGATCCTGCTGCTGCTGATCCTGCTGATGATACTGCTGCTGATGCCGCTGCTGATCCTGCTGGTGACGCTGCTGCTGATCCTGCTGCTGCTGATCCTGCTGATGATGATACTGCTGCTGCTGATCCTGCTGGTGATACTGCTGCTGATCCTGCTGCTGCTGATCCTGCTGATGATGATACTGCTGCTGCTGCTGATCCTGCTGGTGCCGCTGCTGCTGATCCTGCTGCTGCTGATCCTGCTGATGATGATACTGCTGCTGATGCCGCCGCTGATCTAGCTCCTGCTGCTGCTGATCCTGCTGATGATGATACTGCTGCTGATGCCGCCGCTGATCTTGCTCCTGCTGCTGCTGATCCTGCTGCTGCTGATCCTGCTGTTGCAGGGTGTGCACGGCCCTCCCCGATCGTCCCACGTCGCCAGGCGCAGCAGCCGCGAGGGCAGCGGCGCCAGGCCGCTCCGCGTCCCCCCGCCGGGCACCGCGTGCCTCCTCGCGCCCCCGCTGCTGCTGCCGTTGCTGCTGCTGCTGCTGCCGCTGCTGCTGTTGCTGCTGCGTCGTCGTCGCTGTCGTCGCCGCGTCCCGCGCCGCCTGCCGGTCCGGCGGATCCTCGGCCGGGCCCGGTGGTGGCGGCGGCGGCATCGGCAGCGCCGCCACCGCCGGCGTCGTTCCTCCGAGCCGCCCGGCCGCCGTCTCGCTCGAAGCCCGGCACAGCCAGCAGAGCCAGCCCTTCCGCTGAGACCCCGGCGAGAGAACACAACAACAACAACAACAACGGCTGTTGACAAACACTGCTGCTGCTGCTGCCGCTGCTTGACGACACTGGGACTGATGGGACCAATGCATCGGTCGGCGGAGCCGCGTGCCGTGCCTCTTTAAGGGCTGCTGCTGCTGCTTCGTGACGTTTATTTATTAAAAGGGGACCACCACTGTCTCGTGTTCACCACCACGGTGCGCCGGCGGCTCTCACCAAATTCGAAAACAAAAGTGCCCCTTCTTGTGATCCTGTGGCGAGACGTCGCCGCGTAGGGTGGCAGCCGTCCGGCATGCTGCGCCGCCCCCGACCGAGTCGGCGTTACCGTTGGGGTCTCTTCTCCTTCCCTCTTCGTCGCCTGTTTGCTCATCCGCATTATCCGTGCCGACAATGTGGACACGTTCAAGTCTCGTCTTAAACCCACATCCTCTTAAGTCAGTTCATTCTATTTGGCTTCTCCGTCGCGCTCTCAGGCCTTTCCTCCTTGGCGGAATGCGCCTTACGGATCAATAGTCAATTATTATTATTTTGGTTTTCCGACCCCCTGGGACTCGTCCACATATTTACATATTAATTTTGTCGCGTCGTCGCGAGCCCGGCGCCACCGTCCGTGCTCCCGCCGCGGTGTCCTCGCTTCACTCACGAGCGCTCCTCGCTGCGAGAATTCGCGATTGTGAGGGGGAAAATTCGAGCCGAGACCAATTCGTTCGCACAATGAGCAAACATGTTCGCGGAACGAGCGGCGGGCCGATCGACCGAACACGTTGCGGCGCTTTCAGACGCGCTTTCTGCAGCCGTCTGGAAAGGCTCTTCCGTCCGACATGAGGAAGCCACCGTGAGCTATGATGCACTTTAAAATCATCATCATCTTGATTGACAAACTCGTTTCTTTAGAACTGCTTTCTGTGTGTTAGTTTGTTGGCCTGGTTCCCCGGGACCTGCGATCGGCACACGGTTGGCTACGTATGGTGCGAAAGAAGTTCATCGAATGGTAAAGCTTCTCTCCATCCGACGAGGGCTACGTTCCTGAAAACGCACGCCGAATGAAAACTTCGCAGAAAGCAGAAGCCTCCTTCGACGAGAATAATGAAGTTAAGTTCCTGGTAGGAGTGAAATTATCAATGTTTAATAGCAATGACTACACTAAATAAATAATGAAGCCCAATGTTTATTTTTCCTTTGATGATGACGACGATGATGACGACGATGATGATTTGACGACGATGGAGGTGGTGGTGGTTTTGGTGGTGGTGGTGATGATGGTGGTGACGGTGGTAATGATGATGGTAGTGGTGGTGGTTGTGGTTGTGATGGTGGTGGTGACGGTTGTAATGATGATGGTGGTGGTGATGGTGGTGGTGGTTGTGGTGGTTGTGGTGGTGATGGTGGTGGTGACGGTGGTAATGATGATGGTAGTGGTGGTGATGGTGGTGGTGGTGATGATTTGACGACGATGGTGGTGATGATGATGATGATGGTGAAGATGATGATTTCAGGAGGATGACTCCACGGAAGGTGCGGGGTGTTTGATGACACACAACGCCGCACGGCTGTTATCATTCTATGTCTCTGGGAAGCCCCACGAGCCCGCAACCCTCTCCCTGATGGCGTGCACCGTCATGTTATAACGGACTTCACCGTCGACCCGTTAACACCGAAACGTCGGCCTCCCGCAGCAGGCGCACTCGCACCCGTGCCGAGCCTCCACACTTTGACCCCTTCACCCAAACTCGTCACCTTCTCACGCATTTGGTTTTTTGTCGGCAGACGCCCACTTCCATCTCTCATCGCCACACTTGGGAACCACAAATAAAGGGCAATTAACAATCTAGATTTGAATTTTTCGTGACTGCAGGGATCCATACTCGTTAGTTCCTTCGGTAAAGTCACGTAGGTAGAAAATATTCCCCATTCCCCCTACCCCACACCCCCACCCACTCTCTATCTCTCCTCTCTGGCCCAGCCCCCCTCTCTTACCTATAGAGCCTCTTGATACAAACACCTCTGTTGCCCACTTCAGCAATTGTTTCTTGCTGTGGTTGTCCCACCTGATGACGGACGCTTGTGTTGCGCTAGAAACGTCGTGATTTATATTATTTTTGACCTACGTGGCAATTAACAAGCAGGCCCGGTATCGACCCTCGCCATTCGCTAGCTCTGGATGTGCTTGCAGTACACACAACATCACACGACAGTACACACGACAGAGCCCACGACAGTACACACGACAGCACACACTAACCAGCGGTGCTGTGAATGGACGTGCAGGGGAGCGGTGGGCGTAGTGGTTAGCGCGCTGCGCTTCGACCAGTGGCACCACGGGTCTCCCCTCCCCTCGCAAGACAAAGATCCCCCGTGTAGCCTTACCAGACTGTTGGGCGCAAGTGCTGTTAGCGAGCGGCACCTATGTAGGCCGGCCACGGTAAACGACCCTGAGCCGGTGGCAGAAATTACACATTCCTCTGGCGGGGGAGGGTCTATGCATAGAATAAGAAAAAACCACCTGGACTTTCCTACAAAGTAGGTAGCGATTTTACCCCAGAGGGAAGGATGATGTGTGCTGAGTGAACCTCCAATCAGTGATTGGGTTGGACTCGTCACCTTCTGCCAGCTGGAAACCACTGAGTCGTCGGTTCACGCACGCACGTCGGCGTGTGTGTGTACAAGCGCGTGTGTGCGTGAGAGTGCGTGCATGAGTGTGTGCGTGAGTGAGTGTGTGCACGCATGAGTGTGTGCGTGTGTGTGTGCATGCGCGTGTTAGTGTGCATGCGCGCGTGAGTGAGTGCGTGAGTGTGTCGTGTGTGCATCAAGTGCGAGTGGCCGACCGCGCCATCGACGTGCCGGCGCTACCGGCGCCGTGCGGTTCGCCTCGTGCCGCTCGTAACGACGCGCGGGGATCCCCGCGGCGGCGCGCACGCGCACACGCCCATCCGCGTGCGCGTGCGTTACGAACGATGCCGTCCGGCACTCCGCAAGGCAATTAACAGCGCGCATTGAAACCCCGTGGCCCTCTCCGTCAAGATTCCATTAGGCCCGGCTGGCAAGCTCGGGGATTTGCTGCTGCTGCTTGGGTTAACGATCGTACGGCAAATCGTTAGCCAAGAGCAGAGCATAGGGGCTGAGAAAAATGTCGACGGCGGGGGGGGGGGGGGCGGGGCGGTAAGTGCCTGTTCGTGAGCGGTGTGTTCCGGCATCCCACGACAGGGGCGGTGTGGCCGGGTTCCACGGCCAAGCGGCCGGCCGTCTTTGTCTCACCGCTGATGATTTGTGTTGCTCGTCGCATCGGATGCTTATTTCAGGATGAGTAGCCGCGGCGGGAGGTTCCAAGGCTGGTCGTGATATCGACCCGCCACTCATGCCAGACGTGGCTAGGGAATCATGCCCAGCCAGATGGGTTTAGTGGCACGGTGGACGGACCCCACAGTGCCACCACTCGCCACTGATCGCTGAGGATCCTGGCCTCAAATCCGGGTTTCAGCCGCTCATTCTGATTACAACCGGCTTCTCAAGTGTCACGAGTGGATGGTCTCAACCCAGTCACCAGTGACTCACACGGAGATCCATAGACGCACATGGAGGCCCATAGACTCACATAGAGACCCAATAACTCACATAAAGACCCATAGACTCATATAGAGACCCACAGACTTACATGGAGACCCATAGACTAACATGGAGACCCATAGACTAACATGGAGATCTATAGACTCACAAGGTGACCCCTAAACTCACACAGAGCCCCATAGATTCACGTATAGACCCAATAACTCACATAGAGACCCAAAGACTCACATATAGACCCAAAGACTCACATAGAGACCCAATAACTCACATAGAGACCCAAAGACTCACATAGAGACCCAAAGACTCACATAGAGGCCCAAAGACTCATATAGACACCCAATAACTCACATAGAAACCCAATAACTCACATAGAGACCCATAGACTCACGAAGTTGCCCCGAGTGTCTCCCAAGTGGTCCCCAGAGGCCACGTCAACACTGCTGCGCTCTCCTCCCTCTCCGGCACCGTGGCGGCCCGGCGTGTCGGCTCCACCGCCACTGCCACACAAACGATTTCATCTCCGGACCGCAAAGCGTTCATGATTGACGCGGGGCGGCAGCGCGCACGCTGGCTGCTCTCCGAGAGCCGATGGGCCGCCTGCGACGAGTGAACCGGACTCGCGGCGTCGACGCGTGTGTCCCAGGAGCATCACCGTTACGACGACGACAATAAATATGAAGACGCCCGCCACGAGGATAAAATAAATACCACGTGCATCGGGAAGTCAACAGTGGTCATCCGATGGATAAATAATTTTCCCAAACCATAGGGACGTGGAATTTCCCGCCACTGATTCTGCACGGCTGCATACGGATGAGCGCGGTTATGTTCATCTGTTGTAGCAAACACTCACCGACTTAACTACTTACCAACCAACCCACCCACCAAATCACCAATACCCAAATCCACCAACCCACCAACCCACCCAACTCACCGATACCCAAACCCACCCACTCACAAATACCCAAACCCACCCACCGCACCACGGCTCGTGGCTCGGCGGTCAGCCTGAGCGCCGATCTCTCCGTGGTGACGCCTCCTCCCCCCCGCCTCTCCTCTTCCTTCTCCTCGGCTCGCTGGGCACCCAGCGTCGCCGCGCCGCTGCGCAATGAACGATCGCACCCCGCCCCCCCGGGCCTCCCATCGCTCACGCGGGCACAGCGGTGGCGGCGGCGGCTGGGGCTCATCTATTTATTTAGTTGTAATATTTATGAACATTGACTGTGATTGCGGTTCACGCTCGGGCTCCGACTGAGAACGTAACCGCAATTCATCTGCCGCCGGGCGCTTGCGATGGCGGAGGAGAGGGGACCCCCCCCCACACCCCGTCTGCGGGCCACCCGGGGGTCCCGGGCGTCTCCGCGGTGGTTCGCGGTGGCCGACCGCAGCGCGGTGAGCGCGGAGCTCGAGTCGACGTCGCCCAGTGGAATCACTGCGGGAGGGATCGCCTGGCGATGCCGCTCTGTTCTCCCCAGAAATTGTTCAAACCGTAAAAACCACGACTGTCGTTGTTGTTTTGTTATTTTAATCATTATTTGTTGTTTTTTTAATTCTCGCAACTTCCGAGCATCGTCCACTCCAAGCGGGCCACGCGATTTTTATTTTCCAGGGGCGCCTCCGATGGAAACGTGAAAAATTCTCCTGAAAGTAAAAAAAAATGATAGAGAAGGCACTGACATCTAATGAATGTCTCCATGATGATCATAATTAGCGCGTTTCACCTGCCGGAGACCACCGTGCGGAGGGTCGTGCGGGGTGATATGCCATCGGCGGCGCCGCCAAGAAGGGGCACAAAGAACATCGTGCCCCTTCTCGAACGCGAGGTGGGCACCGCCGGGCCACTCAAGTTTGGGACAGCCCAATCTCACCACCGTAAAATACAGCGACACCAAAAAACATCGATTGCCGTCTATTATGTGTGGCGGGGGGGGGGGTGGAACAATTTATTTATCAACATTTATCTCTCTCTCTCTCCCACTAATCTTAACGCTTACATTCTAAATGCCAAGGGAAAAACCGTAGGACCCGGAGGAAAAAAATCCATGCAACCACGGGGAGAGAGAGAGACACACAAACTCAAAATATAAAGCAGGCGTCAGGGCCGGGATCGAACCCACGACCTCCTGTAGACCAGGCGAGGTAGTTAACATCTCCTAGCCACCGTGATGATGAGAGAGAAACGTAAACTCTAAATATACATCAGAAGGCATCGTCAGCATTGAGATCAAACCCACGATCTCCTGCATACCAGGCGAGGTAGTTAACATTAGTGGCCGACCCAAATTCGGTTTCGGTTTCTGTTTCGGCGCCGAAAGTTGGCAAATGGCCACTTTCGGCATACTTTCGGTTTCGGCCGAAATTAAATTTTTTACTTTCGGTCTGGTTTCGGTTTTGGCCGAAACTGATATTGACTTTCGGTCGTAAACCGAAGATCTATGTTTAGAATATAACGCTATTGCTAAGTCTATCAGCCGGTTAGTCGGCGCTAGGCAATCCTATGCGATAGGCTGCATACACACACGTCAGCAGCAGCAGCAACTTACGAGCGAGGTTACAGCCGCAACCATGGTCTGGGGCCGTCAATAAATGACGTCACGCACCTGGGGGGGCGGGGCAGCGACTGCGTAGCGATTCGCGCGCTGCGCTACGAACCCGGCAGCCCGAGTTCGATTCCCGCTCACGGCCGGTGACGATTATTTGAATCGGTCCTGGGTCTCCCCTAGGTCGACTCAGCCTCAAACGAGTAAGTGGTGTTGTATGTCAACATCGCCACTGGGGAGACAAAGGCGGCTGGCCGTGGTGAATCCAAGTCCCGGGCGAAGCCGGGTAGTAAAGCTCGTGTTTCATAAATCTTGTGTTCGATAACTTCGGTACACACGCCGGTGAGCATATACACGGCTGTGTCGGCAGGGCGGAGGAACTGGGGCAAAGGTCATGGAGGGCCCCATCTGGAAGCCCCTGGAACCTGCTAGTGGGTTCGAGAAGGGAGGCGCGGCCAGGGCTGAGCCAGGCCACGCTGGTCACATAGAAAGGGGCCGAGAGTGGGGAGCTCCCGGCTTGTCGGTTTGGGGATTGGATCGTCTCGCCGTCGCTGTCGTCTCGTCGCCATCGTCGATGCAATCTTCGCTCGAGATTGCGCTGCCAGAGAGCCTGTCAGCTGTCTCGGTCAGCGCCGTCGATGCTAGACGGCTCGTGTTGTGTCATAGGCTAGCGAGTGCAGAGTGTGTGCAGGTGAGATCTTGTGTGTTAATAAAAGAACGTGCCTGTACAAATATCGTCTCCGAAGTCACTGCGCTACACGAGTTCAGCACGACACCAGTTGTGTATTGGAGCGTAAATCCACTACAGCATTTACAATTCGAGTACACGTGACGTTTCGCTGGTGATTACAACAACAACAACTAGCCTCATCAGGCGACGAGCCAGAATTGTGGAGAGAGTTCTCCTATTTCGGTCTTGAATCGACGTGGTGAAGGGGATGTCATCGCTGTGAGCCTGTCAGGTGCGAAGACCAGAGGGGGGTTAATGTGGCCATCAAAGTTACAATGGTGTCATGCTAATCTGAGAAAATGCAGTTCCTATTATTGTTGGTTGGGTTATTCATAGTTTATCAACATTTATTTGAAGCTTTCGTGACTGCAGGAATCGATACTCTTTGGGTCTTTCGGTGAAGTCACGTAGGTAGACAAATAATAATAATAATAGATCACGACGTTTCGGACGCAACATAAGCGTCCCTCGTCATTTTTCGCCTGATGACGGACCCTTGTGTTGCGTCCGAAACGTCGTGATTTATTATTTTTCTACCGACAGTGAAGGAAAAAAGTATTTGATCCCCTGCTGATTTTGTACGTTTGCCCACTGACAAAGAAATGATCAGTCTATAATTTTAATGGTAGGTTTATTTGAACAGTGAGAGACAGAATAACAACAACAAAATACTGAAAAATGCATGTCAAAAATGTTATAAATAGATTTGCATTTTAATGAGGGAAATAAGTATTTGACCCCCTCTCAATCAGAAAGATTTCTGGCTCCCATGCGTCTTTTATACAGGTAACGAGATGAGATTAGGAGCACACTCTTAAAGGGAGTGCTCCTAGTCTCAGCTTGTTACCTGTATAAAAGACACCTGTTCACAGAAGAAATCAATCAGATTCTAAACTCTCCACCATGGCCAAGACCTAAGAGCTCTCCAAGGATGTGAGGGACAAGATTGTAGACCTACACAAGACTGGAATGGGCTACAAGACCATCGCCAAGCAGCTTGGTGAGGTGACAACAGTTGGTGCGATTATTCGCAAATGGAAGAAACACAAAAGAACTGTCAATCTCCCTCGGCCTGGGGCTCCATGCAAGATCTCACCTCGTGGAGTTGCAATGATCATGAGAACGGTGAGGAATCAGCCCAGAACTACACGGGAGGATCTTGTCAATGATCTCAAGGCAGCTGGGACCATAGTCACCAAGAAAACAGTTGGTAACACACTATGCCGTGAAGGACTGAAATCCTGCAGCGCCCGCAAGGTCCTCCTGCTCAAGAAAGCACATATACGTGCCCGTCTGAAGTTTGCCAATGAACATCTGGATGATTCAGAGGACAACTGGGTGAAAGTGTTGTGGTCAAATGAGACCAAAATGGAGCTCTTTGGCATCAACTCAACTCGCTGTGTTTGGAGGAGGAGGAATGCTGCCTATGACCCCAAGAACACCATCCCCACCGTCAAACATGGAGGTGGAAACATTATGCTTTGAGGGTGTTTTTCTGCTAAGGGGACAGGACAACTTCACCGCATCAAAGGGACAATGGATGGGGCCATGTACCATCAAATCTTGGGTGAGAACCTCCTTCCCTCAGCCAGGGCATTGAAAATGAGTCGTGGATGGGTATTCCAGCATGACAATGACCCAAAACACACGGCCAAGGCAACAAAGGAGTGGCTCAAGAAGAAGCACATTAAGGTCCTGGAGTGGCCTAGCCAGTCTCCAGACCTTAATCCCATAGAAAATCTGTGGAGGGAGCTGAAGGTTCGAGTTGCCAAACGTCAGCCTCGAAACCTTAATGACTTGGAGAAGATCTGCAAAGAGGAGTGGGACAAAATCCCTCCTGAGATGTGTGCAAACCTGGTGGCCAACTACAAGAAACGTCTGACCTCTGTGATTGCCAACAAGGGTTTTGCCACCAAGTACTAAGTCATGTTTTGCAGAAGGGTCAATTACTTATTTCCCTCATTAAAATGCAAATCAATTAATAACATTTATGACATGCGTTTTTCTGGATTTTGTTGTTGTTATTCTGTCTCTCACTGTTCAAATAAACCTACCATTAAAATTATAGACTGATCATTTCTTTGTCAGTGGGCAAACGTACAAAATCAGCAGGGAATCAAATACTTTTTTCACTCACTGTACGTGACTTTACAGAAAGACCCAAAGAGTATTAATCAACATTCATAATAAATTCATGACATTACGTTGTTCTGAGAATGTGCAGAGAATACGCAGTACCAATTATTGGCTGCTCACAGTCGATCTACACACAGTGGAAAGGCGTGCGATGGAGCGCGATAGCCGGCACTGACGCTGGGTTCGGGTCCTCGTTGCAGCCCCAACCATGGCGGTGACACCGCGGTTCTCTCCTTAAAGAGTCTATGAGTTCCAGCCTGGTCACCAGTGACTCATATAGAGACCCATGGACTCAAATAGAAAGCCATCGACTCATATAGAGACCCATCGACTCACATAGAGACCCATATACTCTTATAGAGACCCATAGACTCACAAAGAGACCCATAGACTCACATAGAGACCCATAGACTCACATAGATACCGATAGACTCATATAGAGACCCATAGACTTGCACAGAGACCTACATCTCTTCACCCACACTCACCACTCACTCACCATTCACTCACGACTCACTCACCACTCACCACAGACACTACATCTCTTCACCCACACTCACCACTCACTCACCACTCATCACTTACTCACTACTCACTCACGACTCACCACAGACACTACATCTCTTCACCCACACTCACCACTCACTCACCATTCACTCACGACTCACTCACCACTCACCACAGACACTACATCTCTTCACCCACACTCACCACTCACTCACCACTCATCACTTACTCACTACTCACTCACGACTCACCACAGACACTACATCTCTTCACCCACACTCACCACTCACTCACCACTCACTCACCACTTACTCACTACTCACTCACCACTCACCACAGACACTACATCTCTTCACCCACACTCACCACTTACTCACCACTCACTCACAACTCACTCACCACTCACTCACCACTCACCACAGACACTACATCTCTTCACCCACGCCCACCGACCGCTCGCCACGGAGAGAATGCAGAAAACAATCTAGGTCAGTGAGTGCGTCAGCAACAACAACATCAACACAATCTATTTATATATTGAAACATGGACTTGAAACCGCCCCACCACGCACGCTCGCTGGCGGCCGCGAGTCACATTCACAGCCGAGACGGCACCCTCCCAGCCACACCGCGGGGTCCGTGCGGCCACACCGCGAGAAGGCATCACAGCACATGCTCGTCCACAAAGTGCCGGGTTCGGAGCGAGTGACCGAAGGGGGAGCCCCCAGTGTCAATCGCAGTGCTTCCCTGAGAAGGGCTGGGAAGGCCGCCGGTATGATACACCGGCGCGCCTCGCCACGATAGTTTCCCCCATAATGTGAAGAAAATGAAGACAAGTAAAGACCTCTTTAGTTATTATTCATTTGGAGTCCCTCCCAATAAATCTGCTATAAATGTCTAAATGATGGGTCACTTTGTTGAGCTGTCATTTGTGGCCAGGTTGCTTCTAAAAAACAAGTTCATACCTCAGTGGGCCTTGCCTGGTAGGATGGGGATGCTTTAATTGTATTGTATGCGTGTGGGTGATTTGTTAAATTTTTATTGTACTTTGCACGACTAACGTGTTTTTGTACTTACCCCTACTGGACATCTGTGAGAAAGAGCTTGATAGCTCATCGGATTCCTCCAGGTACAAAAATAAATACTGAAATCTGCCAAAAATATTCAAACGATCAAGTCCAGGCTCCGAGACGCCCCCCTCTTATTCAATATCACTCGCTTGTGTATTACACACAAGGAGCAGCGGCAATCATTGCCTGATAGCAAGCCAGTTGCTGAGTCGCCTTGTGCCGCACAGGGACAGCTGCCAACGGGGGTGCCCTTGGCTCGACCACGCGGCAATCATTGGCCCCCTACTGGCAGACGAATGCCCGCTCACATGCCAGGCGCTGCAAAGGGACAGCTGCCACTGGGCGGGGGCCCCTTTAACATGGGTCGAGACACGATGCAAAGGGCTCCCAGCTGGAGCCAACGGCTTCTTTGAAAGGAACTGGGCCAAAGATCCCAAACGCAGGACCCTCTTGAGACTCGTCCATGCTCTGCTGGGTAAATGACACCGACTTTCACATTGCCGTCACAGCAGCCTCTCGTACATATCACCGCTGCAAAGAATGATCTTGAGTTTTGATTATACAGTAGTGTGCTGATCTTTACAGGTGCATTGAATTGTTTTTATACTCCTGCTGTTATGGAGTGACTCATGCTGCCAGCTACGGCTGCAAAGTTTGGTCGTACATGTTATGCATATCGTTTATTGTTAAATTTGAATCACAGTTCCTATGATCACTGTTACATTGTTTTTATAGCTTTATTTTGGTGATTTCGAAAACGTATGGTTTAGCCATGTTTGTTTGTTGAAGTACAGAGTTAGCCTGATGAATTTAATATAAATTGTCTTATGGTTGTTATTGTTTAACTTGCATCCCACTGGGATTTTTGCACACAGCGTTGATATACGGTGTTTTTTTCTGGAAGACTTTGCTGTTTTTTCCTGAATTTTTCTGTTGCACGTAGTCACTTTAAGATGTTTCTTGTTCATGTTTTTTTTGTTGCGGTTGTGCCCGAGTCAAGAGCCACGTGGCTCATACGGCTAAACAGTACCTAATACATGAAACTGAAAAACCACCCTGTGCGCCAGCATAGTGGCACAAATAGCACAAGATATTAGTGCTGTCATACGCTTGGGAAAGGTGCTACCCATGTTGCAATCCGCCTGCAACATTGTGTAATAGCCGCAAAACGACAGACCACTTCTCTGACATGGTGAGCGTGCGGACGGACAGTCTGGAAGTGCGTCAAAGGCCTCTGATTGCTGCAGGGAGGCCTCAGAGTCGACTGCAACATTTTAGACGATCCATTAACCTAATCTACTCATCGTCCCAGCTGGAGCTCGGATGGATATCAGTAATTGACAGGGAACTGGAAGGACTGCACCCCTACCTGCTGTAGCAACTCAACATCAATCGAGTAAATATGCAACGGGTCTACATTTTCTGCTATAGCAAGCAGAGTGTTGAGTGCGTTACTTAATTGACCGGTTGCGTCAAAGGCGGTTGACGACGTCAGAGAGAAGGACGACGAGGATTGGCTGAGGGCAATAGGGGTGAGCGAACCTTCCAGAAAGGCGGGGGGGGGGTGTGGGGGTATAAAAGGGGAGAGCACGACGGGAAGGGGCGGCTGGAGAGAAGACGAAGCTCGGGCCTCGAGAAGAGTGGCCATGTGTCTACGATAAAGGCTCTTCGTAAAGCAACAACGCGTGTCGGGCGTCGTTACGATTGTGTAACGCGGAGTAGGGGGAGGCTTCCGCGACCGAAGTTATCCACGATCGAGGGGTTTTTTGGGGTTAGATCGCGTAAATATTCATTTGAAACATGAGGAGGATTTCTCAACAACTCTGTGGCTATCGCCTGATGATCCTGGTTGTTGTTGTTGTAATTGCTGGCGAAACGTCACTGTACTCGAATTGTAAATGTTGCATTGGGTTTACTCTCCAACATACACTACACTATACACTACACTGTACACTACGCTATACACTACGCTATACACTACACTATACACTACATTATATTTGTAGATGTTGTAGTGGGTTTACTGTCCAGCACACTATGGTGTTGTTAATGTGACAAACCCCTTTACTGATTGGCTGTGTCGGGTGGTGTCGGGTTTAATGACACATTTATATATTTACGCGATCTAACCTAAAATAACTTCTCTTATGAAAATTGTATAACTCTGGTTTTAATACAAATGAGTTCACCTCTTAGTTTTACGTGTCAGGTCACCGCAGGATGTGTCATGGTACTCAACAGCCACCGATAGGTCACTATCCGTGCACCTATTGACAAGCTGACGCATCCGGATACAAGTTTAAACTGTAATCCTCATCAGCGACCCCCCCCCCCTCCGACTCATCCAGCAGCATCCCAAGGTGCCGTGCGGCGATGCTACGCCGATGCAGCCGTGACGACGACCGCCCATTCCTGCTCGAGCGCGACCGCGGTTCCGTTCGCTCGATCGTGAGGCACATCCCATTGGCATCCACGTTACCACAAACATAAACGCGTTCCCCAATTACACTCGCTGCGTTGTATCATCCAACGCCGCGTGATGTAAACAAGACGCGGCGTTGTAGGAGAAGCGGCGCGTTGACGGTCGCGGAGAAGCAAAGTGCCATGACCAGGGTGGGAGGTGTTGGGAAAACAAAATAACAATAAGATCCATTTTAGATTCTAACGAATTCGATACGGAAAAAACAACTCAATGTACGGCCGATCATCGATTATCCAGCACCGCGCGATTATTCGGAGACTTCCATCCTTTATCCGGCGGCACCCCGGGTCCATCCGGCGAAACCGGCAAAAGCGCTCCGAAGACTGTAACCCAGTCCGGCGATCGTCAAACACAAATCGCGGTTGTGTTGGTACAAGAGCAGAATACGTACGGTACATCACCCCATGCAGAGTCTTCGAGATTGGAGCGAATAAGTACGCTACTTTTGACAGCAAGGATATTTGTTTTTTTCTTTTTGCATGCTTATTTACGCTAATTTCGTAGATTAAATTAACTTAAATTAAAAACACTACGAAAAAAATATATATACACAGCACCTAAAAATGTGATGCAAATAATAAGATATTTTAAATAACGACGTGGTGATTATCCGGATCCTCGTTTGCTGCACCGAAGCCCCCAGATAATTGATGACCTTCTGGATTTCAAAGAGCCGCAAATTGTCGCTGCTTGTTAACAGCACTTGTCCCAACAGTCTGTTAGAGCGAGCACCTATGAAAGTCGGCACGGCACACGAGGGGGTGGGTGGCCAGCACCACGCCCGGCCCGCGATGTTTACACATCGCACCAGGTACGAATTGTAGGCTGAGTCGACCTAGTGGAGGCCCATGACCAGTTCAAATAATCTTCACTGGTGTGGGCCATGAGTGGGAATCGAACTCGGGTCTCTGAGGTTCGTAGCGCAGCGTAGCGCTAACCACTACACCACCGCTCCCCACCGGAACGCATCTGGGTTCAGCCCCCACCCTTCCCACTCCCCCCCAACCCCACACCCCACCCCCCCAACCCCACCCCCACACACTGGCCGGGTGACCCCCCCCCGCCCCCCCCCCAAGATTTGTGTGGCTCACAGCGACCGCATGGTCATGGGGTCACACCCTGATTGAGGGGGGTCGACTCGGCCCATCACCAACCCTCCCTCCGGGGGTCACTAAAATGGGGTACCGCTTTTCGTGGTTATCCAATGTGTAGACTGGCCCCCGCCTCTCCCCCCGCCATAGGAATGTGGAATTTCCACGGCCGGCTCTGCAGGGGCTGTCGATGAGCATCAACTGGACATGTATTACTTCTGGACATCCGTGAAAAAAGAGCGTCATAGATGATCGGATTCCTCCTGGAGAAGGATTCTGAACGGGAGGGGAATGTGGCTCACGTGAGCGGCAGGTGTTCGCTCTGTTTGACGATTATTATAAAACAAAACATTGTTAAAGATGGGAATCGTCCCCCTCCGTCCTCCTCCCTCGGTGGCCCAAACTCATAGCCACATCGCAAGTGCTGTTAGCGAGCACCTCTCAAAGTCCCTCTGATGTCGCATGAATGGAGGCTGAGTGGTGTGGCCACATTTGTCTCTACCACCGATTTTTGCCACCGCCTGAGAATTAAGGGACCCTTCTGGCTCGAGAGCTCAGCGCGGTTGCTGCTGCTGCCGCTGTTGTTGCTGCTGCCGCTGTTGCTGCTACCGCTGTTGCTGCTGCCGCTGTTGCCCGTTACACCGCTGTGACAATTTAAATCATGGAACAAGCAACTCGCGACTCGCGACTCGCGCGTACCTGAGCGACACGGCAGAGATGACGCGAGACGAGGGCGAGGTGGCGAGCGGGCGAGGGCACTACGAGGTGGACATGTCCCCACCCCCCCACCCCCCACCATGTGCCCGAGCGAGCCAGCGAGGACCCCCCCGCCCACCTCCCCCCAACCATCACGTACCGGCTCCCGCGACTCCGAGCCGCACGCGGCGCAAGCGCTCGCTCCGCACGCGGCGCACGTCCTCCCGTTGTTGGCTCGCTCCGTGCCGAAGCTCAGCTCCGCCCTGCAGCGCGGGCACGCGGCCCTGGGGGTCGTCAGCGCCACGGCGCTGGGGACAGCGGCGACGGCACCGCCGCCGCCGTGCGCCCTCTGCTGCGGGCCCTGCGTGGAGGACCCCGGCGCTCGTCGGGTCTCTGCCGGCCGAGCGGCACCGGCGTCGGCTGCCTTGGCCGCGGGCGGCGAGCCGGGCGCCGGGTTGACGGCCCCGATGAGGTTCGATGCCTGGCTCAGGAGGGAGGCGCCGTAGCCGAACAGCTTCCCCGTGACGCTCTCCTCCGCCGCTCGCTGCTGCTGCGGCTGCTGCTTCTGCTGCGTCCTCTCATCGCTCGCCGAAGTGCCCGTCGCTTTCTTGTGCTCACCGGCGCCACCGGCGCCACCGCCACCGCCGTCGCTCGAGGGATGAGTCGGTGCTTTCTCTCCCGGCGGCGGCGGCTGCTGCTGTCGACGCTGCTGCTGGTTTGTTGGAGTCGACCCGTGCGGTTTGGCGCTGGGCTGCTGCTGCTGTACCAGCCCCGTGATGTCCTGCATCTGGCAGCTGAGACACAGCCACTCGACCTGTGCGGGAACGCAAGAGGGTAGGGGGTGGGTGGGGGGGGCGATGATGAGACACAACTCGCGAGCGGGGGGGGGGGGTGCGTTAATGCCGCTGCCCCCCTTTCGGCGGGGCCACGGCGACTCCGGCGACGCGTCACCCCCCCCCCCCCCGCCTCTGAATTGTCGTCTGCATTCCGGCGCTCCCGCCCTCGCTTTGCGCAGACAAATGAAGTCTCCGTGAACCACGGGGGGGGGGGGGGGGGGTGGGTGGGTCAGCGAGGGGCCAGAGGTGGTCTGCGCAGCTCCGGTCAGCGCTACGAACCCGGCCACCCGAGTTCGATTCCCCCTCCTGGCCAACTATCAGTGACACTTATCTGAACCGGTCCTGGGCGACTCAGCCTCAAATGAGTAGCTGGTGCAATGCGTAAAAAACACCGCCACTGGGGGAGACAAAGGCGGCCGGGCGTGGTGCTGGCCACCCACCCCCTCGTGTGCCGTGCCGGCCTTCATAGGTGCTCGCTAACAGCACTTGCCCCAAGAGTCTGTCACAGGCTATACGGGGGATCTTTGTGTTTTGTCCTTGACTGTTGTTTGTTGGAGATGATTACGTAACATTGCATCCTGTAACAGCAATATGAGAGTGAACACTTTTTTCTACTGCTTTGAGCGTGGGAAGATCGTTATATTAATGACATGCATGAGTATCATTGTCACTTAACCCAAGCGATTATGAGAGCTTCGTGATGAGTGGATGTGGCTCATAGCACAAACGCCCGGCGCCTTGCATGTCAATTACATCGCTGTGTGTAACGTGGCCTTTCAGAAAAAGAACAACACATATCATAGGCGACGTTTCGGTCAACGCCCCATTGTCTCGGCACGTGCACAAGGAAGGCCCATTGCCCATCTCACGTGGCAGATTGAGGTACCACAAAGAAGGCCCATTGCCTGAAACGTCACCTATATATATTTTTTTTATCTTAAGACCAGAATCAATGTGACACTCGCCGGGCAGAACGACAGCAAGTGAACCCAGCGCTCGCCCACAGGCGCGTGCCTCTCTTGCCCACTCAACTGCACCCTACGCCTCTTTGGAGAGAAGACAAACGGTGGATATTAAAATAGGGATCCGTGGTGGCCGTTGTCTCGCTTGTGCGAGCTCAGCAGACGTCGAGCCTGGACGGCGCTTGGATGGGCGACCGCCGTGCTGTGTGCAGGGGCAGCAGCAGGCGCGGTGGGGAGTGTGTTGTACCGTACTTCCACGCTCCCGCCTGTGTATCCGCCCGCAGGGACCAAACAAGCCGGCGCGGCCGCGCGGGCGGTCACGGGGAGGTCGTCAGCCAGCAGTGGAGTGTGACCAAGCGCCCCTGCCCGCCATTCGATTTTACCCACGCGATTTCAATTCTCACAGCGGTGTAGCGGGCAGCAGCAGCAGTAGCAACAGCAGCGGCTGAAACGCTGTGGTGGGCCGAGGGCGTTTTCCTAAAATGCCCCCACCAACTCCACCAACTCCGCCGCCTCTGTCGACCCAGCAGTCGGTAACTCACGCCTGTCAACCCCTTCACAGTGCCCTACCTTATTATTACACAACAATTCAGACCGCATTGGTCACCCCCGTGCCCGCATAAATCTCAACGTTCATCCTACAAAGTCCCATCACAAGGGAGAAACACAAACAAATAGACGCACAAAAACACACATTTTGAACGCATTGAAACGGCTATACACCGTATGGAGCTGAAAACTCAATTTCCCTGGACAAGAATACGGCGTGAACCCCGTGGGATGAGAGGTGTGCGGTCAAAAGGTCACGTGCGGTCAACAGGTGATGTGCGGTCACGTCCCACCTCTTCCTACACGCGTGCCCTTACCCCCCCCCAACCAACCAAGTCCCCTTCCAAGAGTCTGCTCGGATCGAGGCACCCAGCAGGGGCAGAGTCGCACCTTCGCCTGCTTCTTGTGGCAATAAACAAGGAGGCTGCCTCGCGGAACGAGACGACGTTACCATGGACACCGTTCCCGTGAACTTCAATCATCGATTCCTCCTCCTGCCCACCTCGGGGACTCGCCGTGCACCAGACACTGCTCCGTCTCGCCCAACACCACCACCACCACTCTCTGTTCAACCACCACCACCACCACAACCACTACCACTACCACAAACACTGATCTCTGTTCAACCACAACCACTACCACAACCACTACCACAACCACCACTCTCTGTTCAACCACTACCACCACCACAGCTCTCTGTTCAACTACTACCACAACCACTACCACAACCACTACCACAAGCACTGATCTCTGTTCAACCACTACCACCACCACTACCACCACTCTCTGTTCAACCACTACCACCACCACTACTCTCTGTTCAACCACTACCACAACCGCCACCACCACCACCACTCTCTGTTCAACCACTACAACAACCACTACCACCACTCTCTGTTCAACCACTACCACCACCACGACCACAACCACCACTCTCTGTTCAACCACTACCACAACCACTACCACAACCACTACCACCACCACCACTCTCTGATCAACCACTACCACAACCACAACCACCACTCTCTGTTCAACCACTACCACAACAACTACCAACCACCACCACTCTCTGTTCAACCACTACCACCACCACCACTCTCTGTTCAACCACTACCACAACCACTACCACTACCACAACCACAACCACCACTCTCTGTTCAACCACTACCACCACCACTACTCTCTGTTCAACCACTACCACAACCACTACCACCACTCTCTGTTCAACCACTACCACAACAACTACCAACCACCACCACTCTCTGTTCAACCACTACCACCACCACCACTCTCTGTTCAACCACTACCACAACCACTACCACAACCACTACCACAACCACCACTCTCTGTTCAACCACTACCACCACCACTACTCTCTGTTCAACCACTACCACAACCACTACCACCACTCTCTGTTCAACCACTACCACTACCACAAGCACAACCACCCCTCTCTGTTCAACCACCACAACCACAACCACCACTCTCTGTTCAACCACTACCACAACCACTACCACAACCACTACCACAACCACTACCACAACCACTACCACAACCGCCACTCTCTGTTCAACCACAACCACTACCACAACCGCCACTCTCTGTTCAACCACTACCACACCCACTACCACAACCACCACTACTCTCTGTTCAACCACTACCAAAACCACCACTCTCTGTTCAACCATTACCACCACTGTCACCACCACCACCGTCACCACCACCCCCGTCACCACCACCGTCACTACCGCAGGTCACAACAACACAAACAACACAAACACCCCCCCCCCCCCCCCCGTGTCGCCTGTTCACAGACTGTCGGGCGAGTGTTGTTCGCGAGAAGCGCCCAAGGCCGGCATGGCACACGAGGGGGTGGGTGGCCAACACCACGTCCGGCCGCCTCTCACCCACCCTCCCACTGGCCCACTCACTCACCTACCCACCCACTCACCCACCCACTCACCACACTGCAGGTCACAACAACACTCACCTACTCACCACACTGCAGGTCACACCAACTCACCCACTCACCACACTGCAGATCACAACAACACACTCACCCACTCACCACACTGCAGATCACAACAACACACTCACCCACTCACCACACTGCAGGTCACAACAACACACTCACCCACTCACCACACTGCAGGTCACAACAACACACTCACCCACTCACCACACTGCAGGTCACAACAACACACTCAACCACTCACCACACTGCAGGTCTCAACAACACACTCACCCACTCACCACACTGCAGATCACAACAACACTCACCCACTCACCCACCCACTCACTCACCACACTGCAGGTCACAACACACTCGCCCACTCACCCACCCACTCACTCACCACACTGCAGGTCACAACAAACTCGCCCACTCACCCACCCACTCACTCACCACACTGCAGGTCACAACACACTCGCCCACTCACCCACCAACTCACTGACCACACTGCAGGTCACAACACACTCGCCCACTCACCCAACCCACTCACTCACCACACTGCAGGTCACACCCACTCACTCACCACACTGCAGGTCACACCCACTCACTCACCACACTGCAGGTCACAACACACTCGCCCACTCACCCACCCACTCACTGACCACACTGCAGGTCACAACACACTCGCCCACTCACCCACCCACTCACTCACCACACTGCAGGTCACACACACTCGCCCACTCACCCACCCCTCACTGACCACACTGCAGTCACAACACCACTCGCCCACTCACCCACCCACTCACTCACCACACTGCAGGTCACAACACACTCGCCCATCACCCACCCACTCACTCACCACACTGCAGGTCACAACACACTCGCCCACTCACCCACCCACTCACTCACCACACTGCAGGTCACAACACACTCGCCCACTCACCCACCCACTCACTCACCACACTGCAGGTCACAACACACTCGCCCACTCACCCACCCACTTCACTCACCACACTGCAGGTCACAACACACTCGCCCACTCACCCACCCACTCACTCACCACACTGCAGGTCACAACACACTCGCCCACTCACCCACCCACTCACTCACCACACTGCAGGTCACAACACACTCGCCCACTCACCCACCCCACTCACTCACCACACTGCAGGTCACAACACACTCGCCCACCAAACCTCACCCCACACCCACTCACTCACCACACTGCAGGTCACAACACACTCGCCCACTCACCCACCCACTCACTCACCACACTGCAGGTCACAACACACTCGCCCACTCACCCACCCACTCACTCACCACACTGCAGGTCACAACACACTCGCCCACTCACCCACCCACTCACTCACCACACTGCAGGTCACAACACACTCGCCCACTCACCCACCCACTCACTCACCACACTGCAGGTCACAACACACTCGCCCACTCACCCACCCACTCACTCACCACACTGCAGGTCACAACACACTCGCCCACTCACCCACCCACTCAC